ATAAACCAATACATCATAACCTGTCAGTGTCTTTGTTATGACACCTTGACATAAACCAATACATTATAACCTGTCAAAATCTTGGTAATGACAACTTGACATAAACCAATACATCATAACCTGTCAGTGTCTTTGTTATGACACCTTGACATAAACCAATACATCATAACCTGTCAGTGTCTTTGTTATGACACCTTGACATAAACCAATACATCATAACCTGTCAGTGTCTTTGTTATGACACCTTGACATAAACCAATACATTATAACCTGTCAAAATCTTGGTAATGACAACTTGACATAAACCAATACATCATAACCTGTTAGAGTCTTTGTTATGACAACTTGACATAAACCAATACATCATAACCTGTCAGTGTCTTTGTTATGACACCTTGACATAAACCAATACATCATAACCTGTCAGTGTCTTTGTTATGACACCTTGACATAAACCAATACGTTATAACCTGTCAGAGTCTTGGTAATGACAACTTGACATAAACCAATACATCATAACCTGTCAGAGTCTTGGTAATGACAACTTGACATAAACCAATACGTTATAACCTGTCAGAGTCTTGGTAATGACAACTTGACATAAACCAATACATCATAACCTGTCAGAGTCTTGGTAATGACAACTTGACATAAACCAATACGTTATAACCTGTCAGAGTCTTGGTAATGACAACTTGACATAAACCAATACATCATAACCTGTCAGTGTCTTTGTCATGACAACTTGACATTACCAAGACAACATAAGTTGTCATAAATATGTCATAAACACGACATAGCAGATTAATGATCAAACTTAAGAAACCACTTAGCTTTATGGGTTAACATTACATTAAACTGTCATGTGGTTGGTGTTGACATTGGCTGTCATGAGGCATTATAACTGTGTCATGAATATTTTTCTTGTCCTCAACTACAGTGGTACACATTGAATTTGTCATTAAAATGTTATAATGGCCTCATGACAGCCAATGTCAAAACCAACCACATGACATCTCAAACAATGTCATATTTGCATTCAAAATGTCATAATTGAGCGAATGACACTTAATGACAGTTGTCATAAACATGCATAAAACCTCATTCATATTCATAACATGTGTCATGTCATGTTTATGAAGGTGTCATGTCAGTCTTATGCACACCCCTTCAAGTAAAGTGTTACCACAAGTTTAAGTCTTCTGCTTAAAAAAAATCATTTCATAACAATTGAATGTATTTCTGCATTTAAGGTCAACATGATTCTTCCAGAATGTGACGTATTTCAGAGCGCAACAGCATATTAAAGAAAAACGTGTTGTTTTATCCACAAGCAAAGATTCAGATTTTGAGAAAGTTGTTCAGTTTTGATGTAGAAAATTTGGAATAACGTGCATGGATGAATCCTTGAACATAAGATCAGGAATATGTATTAATAAAGTCTTCATGTTGACTATAAAGGATGCAGAAGCTTGTCAGTACAAACGTTGCAAACGTGCAATACGCACAGAAAACGGTGCAACTCCTTATAAAAACATTTTCTCAGAGCCAAAAAAAAGGTAATAAATAACAAAATAAATATGCAACAAATATTAAATAAATAGCATCACGGAATAAATAGAATAACATGAATAAATATGCTCATAAAGACGTGTGCGTGTATATTTTTGCAGCCTGGTTTCAGGTATAAGTGCACCTACACTAGAGACAGAGAACAACTGTACAACACAGAGCTCGAACCGTATTCATACGCACTAAACACAGCCAAAGTAGAAGTGGAATACTGTATATAATAAGAAATATCACATCTCCAAAATGGACATTATAGGTGCATCAGATATGGATTTTCCACAGAGATCCGAGAGTACAGGAGGGGAGAGCGACTCACACCCGGACACACACACTCTCCTCTGCATCATGCCAAGCTTTTCCACATACCAAGCCTTTATATGATCCGGTATATAACTGGGAATATACAGTGCATAGTTTACAGCCAAAACTTGCAGGGGAAATATTCAAACTAAAACATCTTGACGTTCAGTCATTATAATACATAAAGAGCAAAAAGCAAAAAAAAACAAAAAAAACAGATGTGCTTTTTTACATAATAAATGAATGGGTGAATCTCAAAAAAAAAAAAAAAAAAAATGTAAGTCATTTTTAACCCAGAGTAAAAAATAAAAATAAACAAAAAATGTATAATTGCATAATAAATAAAAAAAATGAAGCATGTTTAACCCTCTGGTGCTCATGTGGCGGTCACAAAATAATAGAATTATTATTATATATATTATGTACTATATTTTAGTTTAATAATGTTTTTCATTGTAATGTTTTGTATTTTAGGGTATTTTTATGTTATGGTACTAAATTATATTTATGCAGTAGTTATAATCCATTTATTCACTTTTTAAACAGGAATTTCCAACTATCATAACGGTTTCATTTGAAAGAAAAAGAAAGTTAAGTTATAGAAGTTTAAGTTTATTGTTATGAAAAATGCACAAAAACACTATTTTCTCCTTTTTTATATGAAATATTAATTTTCCAAAACAAGTTTTACTCTACAACTGCGAGAAAATCAAAGCCATAAATCTAAAACAAGTTGAGTTGCAAATTTGAGGTTGGTATCTCAAAAAATTAGCTTATTATGATTATGTTTATTTCATCGATATTTCATTAATTTTCAATGTGCTAATTTCTGTACTATTTTTTTCAGGACTGTTTAACCTTTTCGAATCACATTCATGATTTTTTGTATGTGTGTGTGTGTGTGTGTGTGTTCACATAGCAAGTGCCAAAACTTTTACCAAGATTCGCACCAATTCGATTAAGTAAAAAATTCTTTTAAGTAAAAAAAGTACAATTTGTTCGGTCAAAAACGACCAAAGAGCTCCAGAGGGATAATTATTATTTAAAAGACTAAATATAAACATTTAAACCACACAATTATCAGTAACATAAATAAAAAATGGCGTGCATATTTATAATAGTTTAGTTAATATTTGTGTTAAATGCACAAATTGTTATGAAAATAAAGTCAAAATTCACAGAATCTTTATGATGCTTAAACAGGCTTAACTTCTTTGTACAACATTTAATTTCTTGTTTCTGTATGACCTGAACATTTCTTTATGAGATTCACCCAAATCATAAGCTACTGTAAAATGTAATATTTTGTTCTTGCTTTCGTTCCTCTTCAGTGTGGGAATATAGTCTCTTGATTTTGAGATAGTTTTAGACCTCATCACGATTAGTCTCTCTTTCATAACCCAGTGTTTTTTTTTTTGGTTATTTTTGCAGCGTGGAAGAATTTCAGGAAAAAAAAGTGCTCGTCTTATCTTTGTTCTTCAGGCCTTTTAGTCTTTAAATAGAGACACTGGATCTATTTGTAACATTATGTTTAATACAAAAATGCTGACAATATCAATATCTCTGTGCATCATAAGTGTGAGTCAGCATCTTACCGGATTGGGACGTAATATTGGTTTTAATCTGTACAGACCGGCTGTATTTTATTATGTAACATCAGATATCTTGCAGTTATTTCCAAATTCACTGCCTAAAAATGTTTTGTTGATGCTGCACACAAACTGCTCTTTAGGACGGTTTCTCATCCAGGTGTTTCTTCACACAGTGGATTTAATATTCAGTGTATCTACATCATCGGTCATAGTGATAACTTATCGTTATTAGTAGTATTATTATGAGTCATTGTGGAAGAAAGAACGGGAAAATCCGATTTTATGCATTTTCTTGAAAAAAAAAAATGGATTGAGTGGATTTGAATTGGACACGCCAAAAAGAAAGAAATAAATAAATAAATAAATACGATTTTCGCTCTATGAACAAAGCCTGAGTTAAGGGTAAAGTGTGTAATTTCTAAAATATATTTTTGTCTTGTTTTCTAGTACAAATATCTAAACTTTCTGAAATCAAGATACACGTACTTAATAAGCAAAATGACCTGTTTTCTGGAAAAAAAAGATCAAATGAGTTTTTGCTTAAAACAAGAATAAAAAAATATATAATAAAAAAATGCCATTGTGGAAATAAAGAAAAGATACAAATATTTTCTTGCTGTTCAAAACTACAAAAAATGAATTGAGGATTTGCATCAGATAAGCCCAAAAAAAAAATACATTGTCAAAAAATGATTTTCTTACTCAGTATTTTTGCAGTTTTACTCAGTATTTCACAGAACAAATACAGTATTTTTTCTCAAATGATAGTCAATTGATCAAAAAGGTTTTGCTTAAACCAAAAAAACCTGCAAATGGGGTTAAAAAAATAATCTTGTTTTCCCTTTGAATAAGTGTATCCTGAAAAAGTATCAAAAGTGAGTTAATGCTTAAAACAAGAAAAAATATAAGAAAACTCACTTTTGATACTTTTCCAGGAAATATTATGTATTTTTTATGTTATTTGACCTTCTCAAATAAATGTATCTTGATTTAAGAATGTTTAGATATTTGTACTGGAAAACAAGACAAGAAAAAATATAAGAAAAATATTGTTTCTTGTTTTAAGCATAAACTCACTTTTGATACTTTTCCAGGAAATATTATGTATTTTTTATGTTATTTGACCTTCTCAAATAAATGTATCTTGATTTAAGAATGTTTAGATATTTGTACTGTAAAACAAAACAAGAAAAAATATAAGAAAAATATTGTTTCTTGTTTTAAGCATAAACTCACTTTTGATACTTTTCCAGGAAATATTATGTATTTTTTATGTTATTTGACCTTCTCAAATAAATGCATCTTGATTTAATAATGTTTAGATATTTGTACTGTAAAACAAGACAAAAAAACAACCTTTTTTTTGCAGTGTAATTACCCTCTTCACCTTTAACCTATTATTTTTGTTCAGTTTTTAAATCTTTTCAGTGTTACTCCACCCTGACATTTCACAGAGCGTCCTGTCACGAAACCCGCCGGAAACCCTGATACCCGCTGCATTTCTTCAGCGCAGATCCTGCGGTAGAAAGGTGTCCTGCACGCGTGAGCTGTTCTCTGGCGTCCCCCCCGTACCTTCAGTGGGTCTCAGAATCCGGGGCTCTCGTAGCTGCTTTGGCTGTAGTAACTGTGTGTGGGACTCGGGCTCCTGGAGCGACTGCGACTGCGGCTGCTGAAACTGCTGTAGCTGCGGCTGCGACTGCGACTGGAACTGCTGAAGCTGCTGGCGGAGCTGGAAGAGGACGGGCTCGGCCGGTAGTACGGGATCGGCCGCTTGCGTGCGCTGCAGAAAACAGACAGAGGTATTATATACAAGTCAAAAACTCATAAGCACTTGAACACCACTTTGACCACTCAACAAGCAGATGTGAGCTGTGTGCCGTCAATGTAATATCTGTGGAAGTTTGTTTCTGCCACAGAATGAAAAAAAAAAAGGTCACTCTGACTGTATTACACGCAATTCTGAGATAAAAAGTCTGAATTGCATTATAAAGTCGCAATTGCGTGATATAAAGTCAGAATTGCGTGATATAAAGTCAGAATTGCATTATAAAGTCAGAATTGCATTATAAAGTCAGAATTGCATTATAAAGTCTGAATTGCGTGATATAAAGTCGCAATTGCGTGATATAAAGTCAGAATTGCGTGATATAAAGTCAGAATTGCATTATAAAGTCTGAATTGCGTGATATAAAGTCGCAATTGCGTGATATAAAGTCAGAATTGCATTATAAAGTCTGAATTGCGTGATATAAAGTCTGAATTGCGTGATATAAAGTCGCAATTGCGTGATATAAAGTCAGAATTGCGTGATATAAAGTCGCAATTGCGTGATATAAAGTCAGAATTGCGTTATAAAGTCAGAATTGCATTATAAAGTCAGAATTGCATTATAAAGTCTGAATTGCGTGATATAAAGTCGCAATTGCGTGATATAAAGTCAGAATTGCGTTATAAAGTCAGAATTGCGTGATATAAAGTCAGAATTGCATTATAAAGTCAGAATTGCATTATAAAGTCTGAATTGCGTGATATAAAGTCGCAATTGCGTGATATAAAGTCAGAATTGCGTGATATAAAGTCAGAATTGCATTATAAAGTCTGAATTGCGTGATATAAAGTCGCAATTGTGTGATATAAAGTCAGAATTGTGTGATATAAAGTCAGAATTGCATTATAAAGTCGCAATTGCGTGATATAAAGTCAGAATTGCATTATAAAGTCTGAATTGCGTGATATAAAGTCGCAATTGTGTGATATAAAGTCAGAATTGCGTGATATAAAGTCTGAATTGCGTGATATAAAGTCAGAATTGCATTATAAAGTCTGAATTGCGTGATATAAAGTCAGAATTGCATTATAAAGTCAGAATTGCGTGATATAAAGTTGCAATTGCATTATAAAGTCAGAATTGCGTGATATAAAGTCAGAATTGCGTTATAAAGTCAGAATTGCGTGATATAAAGTCAGAATTGCATTATAAAGTCAGAATTGCGTGATATAAAGTTGCAATTGCATTATTAAGTCAGAATTGCGTTATAAAGTCAGAATGGCGTTATAAAGTCAGAATTGCGTGATATAAAGTCAGAATTGCATTATAAAGTCTGAATTGCGTGATATAAAGTCAGAATTGCATTATAAAGTCGCAATTGCGTGATATAAAGTCGCAATTGCGTGATATAAAGTCAGAATTGCGTGATATAAAGTCAGAATTGCATTATAAAGTCAGAATTGCATTATTAAGTCAGAATTGCATTATAAAGTCTGAATTGCGTGATATAAAGTCGCAATTGCGTGATATAAAGTCAGAATTGCGTGATATAAAGTCAGAATTGCATTATAAAGTCTGAATTGCGTGATATAAAGTCGCAATTGCGTGATATAAAGTCAGAATTGCATTATAAAGTCTGAATTGCGTGATATAAAGTCAGAATTGCGTGATATAAAGTCGCAATTGCGTGATATAAAGTCAGAATTGCGTTATAAAGTCAGAATTGCATTATAAAGTCAGAATTGCATTATAAAGTCTGAATTGCGTGATATAAAGTCGCAATTGCGTGATATAAAGTCAGAATTGCGTTATAAAGTCAGAATTGCGTGATATAAAGTCAGAATTGCATTATAAAGTCAGAATTGCATTATAAAGTCTGAATTGCGTGATATAAAGTCGCAATTGCGTGATATAAAGTCAGAATTGCGTGATATAAAGTCAGAATTGCATTATAAAGTCTGAATTGCGTGATATAAAGTCGCAATTGTGTGATATAAAGTCAGAATTGTGTGATATAAAGTCAGAATTGCATTATAAAGTCGCAATTGCGTGATATAAAGTCAGAATTGCATTATAAAGTCTGAATTGCGTGATATAAAGTCGCAATTGTGTGATATAAAGTCAGAATTGCGTGATATAAAGTCTGAATTGCGTGATATAAAGTCAGAATTGCATTATAAAGTCTGAATTGCGTGATATAAAGTCAGAATTGCATTATAAAGTCAGAATTGCGTGATATAAAGTTGCAATTGCATTATAAAGTCAGAA